GCCCCGCGGTGGTGCTCGGTGTTCAGCTCTGTGCCGCAGGGAAGGGGCTGGTTATCAGGTTTTCAGTTTTCCTGGGTTAGCGGGTTTGTTTCGGCGATGCCGAGTTTTCGGTGCTTCCATTCAGGAGTGCGCCTTGTGTTTTCACTTCCCTTAAGCTGCCCTGCCGTGTTGTCTTCTGTTTATTCTTCTATGTGGCAATAGCACGTAAAGCAGGCACCTTAAATTTCCTTAATAAAATAACCGTGGTTTTAATATCCTTTCCTTCCAAAGCCTTAGTGGTGTTCCAAACACATGCATGTGCAGCCTAACATCTGCTGCTCTGTTTCAGAGAAAGGAATGGATTTTTCTGGAAACATGTTCAGTCTGAGGTTAAAGCCCTCAACAGTAGAAATGCATCTATAAACAAGATATTTTAAATTTTTCTCTATTGGTGCACATAGAGTCCAAAATCCAAGACTATTTCAATGTTGTTTTATCTTAGATAAATATTAATATAGCTGGAAATCAGTGGAGTACATATCTGGAGATTTAACAAAATGTTTGCCATTTGAAGCATTTTTTTTTTAGCTTGCCCACATTCTTTGGGGTCCATGTCACTTAAAATTTGATCGGATGAACATCCGTAGTTTTGCAACTGGAGTGAATTCCAGTACCAGAGGTTGTGCCACATTCTGTGTCTGTCCCAGTAAACCTTCCATCCAGTGAAATGTTCCATTTCTGTGGCCCATTGCACCAGCCAGGAGTTACAGGGGTCTGTCTGTGTAGAGCAATTTGCATCTTGAATCATAGTTGGAAGCAGCAAAGAAGAAGCTCTTGAGTTTTAATTTTAAATTGTGTAAGATGTAATAAGGATTGATCTTGGGAATTGTTTGACATTTTGCAGACAGCGTTAGGAAGCTCTTTGCTGTCACAAATTTGTTGGATCTCCAAGAAATGTTTATTACATGAGTGTTTAGTGCTTTGCAGCTTGATGATAGAAGACACCTTGTCTGGCTCATGTGTGGGTGAAGTTACCAATATACTTGCTGTCGATTGAGAGGAGTGTTCCCAATGAGGAGGAAGTGAACTAATGTCACTTGTGGTTGTCAGGTGACAATCTGTGAGCAACCACCTAAGGGCTTATTTAGGGAGGGACATACAGGAGCTTGTCACAATCACTGTTGAAGAAGGGCTGTTTTGTATATGGGAAGAACACTGCCCTTATGTGTGAAAATTGTACACTCAGAGGGAATTTTTGTTTGTATGAATTTCTGCTTTTTCTGCCAGTCTGATCTTAACCTTCCAGTGTAGTTTTTTGTGAAAGTAGAAATAGTAATGTATTGGAGGACTGTGTGTGCATGCATATATGCAGAAATGTTTTGACAGAACTTTTTACAACCTCATTTTGCAAGAGAAGATACATTTAGACTAAATCTCTGAAACCTAGTTGAAATTGCAGAACAGCAGGTGTTCTGTCAGCAGGCCTTTAGTAAAGGCCTTGAACACCCTTCAGCACATTGCTACATATTTATAGTGATCTGACCTGGTGAGGGGAGTTGCCTGCTCTGCTTCAGGTATTTTGGAAAGAATGTTACTGTTTAGAGGATGAGACATTTTATTTAGTATTAATGGCTGTTCTCCTTGTAGTTGGGAGATAATCCATAGGCCTGACTTCATAGAGGTCGTTTCTTAGACATGGTTTTGGCATTCTTTATCTGCTGGTTCACATGTTTTGGTTTTAGATTTTGTTCATCAATGTGAAATAAGATGCTGTTGGTGAAAGTAAGAGAAATATATGAGTGCAGGGGATCTTTGCCTCAGACTGACACCATCTGAAAAGGCCATTTAGTAAAAGGTGTTTTAAATAGTTCTTTTTAATCATGGCAGCTGCTTCTTTTATGATTAATTAATTAGAACAGCAGCTTCCTAGGGAGGCTTTTCTGGGGATTCCCCTGTGCTCCCTTGATACTCCTTATTATTGGCTGGTGTAGCTGCAGAGTTGTTTGGTCTCTGTCTTTGGTTGGGGACTGAGTAGCAGAGAACTGATAGCTCTGGGATTTCTTCCCCACAGCCTGGGGATTATTTGACTGCCAGAGCAGATTACAACGCTGTTAGGACTTCAGCAGATTGTATGGGCTGCTTGCAAGTTGCTCTTCCCTCAGCAGGTGGTGATGCTCAAACCATCCCAGGTTTAAGTTTTAGAGAGAACAGGAGTAAGTCTTGCTCATTAAGTGAGTTGGGCTGTTGATTTGTGGCCACCTTGCAAGTCAAATGGGAAAGCTTGCAAGGGTACAAGGAGCAGGGAGAATGGATTGCCTAACCAATAGGCAAGGTCTTTTTGGGAATGTCCTTCAGCACTACTTTTGAATTTGATCTTGGAATTCTAAAAACTAGAACATGAATTCCTATGCTTGGTAACTGTTTTCCTGGTGAAAGGAAGTGAACCAAGGCTGCTCTTGCATTTGGTAGGCATAAGGGAAATTGGAAGGGATGTTAGTGCTCAGGAAGCAGGTATCTGCCTGGTTTTCTTGGGAAGGCTCTGACTTCTTCATACTTTGGTCTGTTATTTCAGATTTTTTTGTTGTTTTATATGTGTACACTGGGTGACTTTTACAGAGTATTTTAGATGTTCTTGAAGATGCGTTATCTTTTGTTTCATTTTATGGTGTGTCTAGTCATCAAGGATGTGTAAGCTTTGTAATTCTTTCATGTCTATAGGGGCCAACAGAGTTTTGGAAACAGCTGGTGATATTACAGAACATGCTGACTGCACATACTAATGGGCTTGAACTTCTCACAATATCTCTGGTGATCTTTTTGTTGTTGCAGATGATTCTGCAGACGTTGGTGAAGAGGACAGCTTCTTGGGTCAGACTTCTGCCAGCACCAACCCACCACAGACCTTCAGCTATTTCTCCCAAGTCCCCAGTAGCAGCGATCCATTCGGAAGTATTGGGCAGCCACCCTTAACAACTGTTGCACCGCCTGTTGGAGGACCAGCCTTCTCCAGGCCTCCAACTTCACTTCCACATGGGTCACAGAATGGGCAAAATGCCTTCTCTCCACACCTTCCCGGGACGCAGTCCTCTCACGCTGCGCCACCTACTTCCCAGGTTGGGATTGCGGCCTATCAGACTCCTCAGCAGAGCTGTCCCCCGCCTGCAAATGCCTCTGCTCTTCCCCAGGGAACACCCCAGCAGGGATATAACCCCTACCGGCACACCACGCTGAGCAGCAGAGCTAATCCCTACCTCACTCCACCGCAGCTGCAGCAGAGTCCTGCGCCTGCTCCCCCCCCGTCCTGTGTACCACCGGTCCAGATGTATCAGACACCTCCAGGGGCATTGACACAGGTATAGAAATAATTCCTCATGTCCTGGTGCCAGAACAAAACAGTTTAAGTTACTTTCCTCTTCAAATTGCCTATTTTATCTTCTGAGGCTTTTCCTTTTCCCCCAGGGGAAGTCTTGAAGCATTTCTGAGAGCAAAATGTTTTCACTAGCACTGGCCTAGAACTGTTTCTTTAGGAAAACACCCTGATCTTTGGAGTGAGGTTACCCTGAGGCTGCAGCTACGTGAGCCTCTGGCATCAGAAACAAAGCCAGGCTGTGAAGTTCTGTTGCTCTTTTTTACTGAGTTTGCTGTCATTTCAGCTGTGCTGCTGCATTGTTGATGACTCTGCTGTAAATCAGGCCATTCAGCCATTTCTTAGATATGAGCTAAAAATCTCTTTTCATGCTGGTTTCTTGGGAGAAAAAATGTGGAACATTAAGACTTGGGGTGTTCTCTGTAGCAAAATGTAGATCAGTTCTTCAAAAACTATGTGAGATTGAGGTGATGAACTCGTATGTATTTTCAGTTTCCACAGTCTCAGTCACAGCTCCCAGCTACCAGGCCTGCGGGTCCACTGGTCCAGGCACCTCCTGTTTTGCTGCAGAACCAATATGAGCCAGTTCAGCCCCACTGGTTCTACTGTAAGGAGGTGGAGGATAAGCAGATATGGATGCCATTCAGCATTCTGGATTCTGCAAAGCTAGAGGAAGTCTATAATTCTGGTAAGTTATTAAAATCTTTAGTTGTATCTTGTTTAGAGGTGAGCAAAAGGACTAGAAGATACTAAGAACACTTGTGTATGAAAGAGTGAGATATGGCAGTAATAGGTAATGTTCATACATCTCTTAAAAATGTGTTTTGTGCCATGTAATTTATTCACTTGCATTATCTTTTGGTTGATGCACTCAGCGTTAAGGTGTATCTTGCATTTTCACATAGAACTCCTTGTTATCTCTGCCTTGGTTTCCCTTTTTGTTAAGCTCTGTCAGCTCTGGAATAAATGTTCACATCTGGGAGTTGTTTACAAGCTGTTTTGTTTGGTTGAGAGCATATAGGAGCATTTTAGGAGCAACACAGTGGTTGCCTGATACTGTGAAGCTTCTCTTTCATAGTGTAACTATCTGTCTTCATGACCTAGGGTTTGTCACAGAAGTGAATTGGGCTGGGGTGAGAGACGAGGGCTGGTTGTGTCAGTGCTGTAACTGTGTGGCTTTTGTGTCATAGTCCAGCCTGATCCTGAGAGCGTGGTGCTGAGCACTGATGGGGGACGCTATGATGTGTTCCTGTATGACAGAGTAAGGAAAGCAGTGTACTGGGAAGAGGAGCCTTCTGAAGTGAGACGCTGCGTGTGGTTTTATAAAGGAGACAAGGACAGTCGGTTTATTCCTTACACTGAGGACTTCAGTGAGAAGCTAGAGGTGTGTGTTACCTTTACGTAAACTTACTTTTTGTGGTTCATGAAAATGATTTCCAGAATGCACTTTCTGGAACATAAATAAGCCAGTCCTGGAAAGGGGAGTGGCTGGAAGGCCACGTTGCTCACGTATAGGTCCTGCACCCCTGTGGCCTAAAATCAACTTATGTAGTGCATCATGTGACACTTCTGTGTAAATAAAGTTATATCAATTATAACCTTAACATGACAGATGATGAACAAGGCCAAAAATTAGTTTGTCTGAGAAGGCATACTGACTCTGTGTAACTTGTGTACTGTTTCAGGCAGAATATAAAAGGGCTGTAACTACAAATCAATGGCATCGACGACTTGAATTCCCAAACGGGGAGACAATTGTTATGCATAATCCCAAGGTAATTCTGGCAATTTGTTCTAACAGAATTCATTAGGGGTAAATGAACAGATGGTTGAAAGCATAAATTGAATGCAGTCTTAGTCTTGCTTGAACTGTAGTTGTGGGTAGTTTGGAATGTGTGCATTAAAGATGATAGTTTATGGAACACTGAACTGCTTGCTTCAATGGCTGTCATGTGATTAAAAGACAAAGCTTTCTGAGACCTCAGATGAAGAAGGGCTTACATAGTAAATGTTTTGGCATTCGCCAGTGTGACTGGCAGAAAATGGGATGCAATTTGAGTGAGTTTAACCTCAGTCTGTACCAAATGGAAGGTAATTTAAACAAAGAGCTTTTATCCAGATGACGTCCCTCTGGACCTGGACAAGCTTGAGAAGTGGGCCTCTGTGAACCTCATGAGGTTTGACAAGCCACGTGCACCTGGGTTGGAGAAATCCCTAATATCAATATAAGCTGGAGGACAAAAGGATTGAGAACAGCTCTATGGAGAAGGGCCTTGAGGTCCTGGTGGATTAAAAGCTGGACATTAGCTGGCAGTGTGCGCTCACATCCCAGCATGCCAACCATATTTTGGGATGTGTCAAAAGTAGTGAGAAAGATGAGGAGAAACTGTTTAAAGTTAAAAGTTTTTTTACTATGAGAGTGGTGAAACACTGGTCCAGGTTGCCCAGAGAGGTGGTAGGTGCCCCATCCTGGAAACATTCAAGGTCAGGTTAGACAGGCCTCTGAACACCCTGATGTAGTTGAAGATGTCTCTGCTCATTGCAGGGGGGGTGGACCCTTAAACATCCCAACCTGAACTATTCTATGGTTCCATGTGGGGAAGAACATTCATCTAACTATAGGTAATCAGTTTGTGTATTTGAGCCATGAGAAATACTCCACTGCAGCAATTTTTAGGCCTTGAGAAAGTAGAATAACTTTTAAAGCTTTTTTGTTATAAATACTCTGCTAACAGTCTCTTGTGATTAAACTGTGGACTTTAGCCTTAATAACCAGTGCTCTTAACTATGCACTATATCACTATAACTATAATACTCAATATTACTAATATATCAATACTAATATATCACTATAACTATTAACTATATCACAGATACAGAAATAAATAATCCAAGGGCCAGAAAGGATCACAGTTGCTCCCCTTCTCTAAGTACTTACTAATGCTGGTTAAGGGCTTCTGTCCAGTAATAGCCTAGAGAAGGAACACTTAAACCACTTGGTGCCATGAGCTTGGTCTGAGTCAGAGTAAGTCTTACCAAGAGCTGTACTACAGATTTCCTCACTTTCTAGGATTTCTGGGCTACTTTGAATGTTGTTGTCCTTCCCTGGAAAGCACTGTGCTTTTTTTCCTTTTTTTTTCGTCCTCATGATGGGGTAATTGTGAATAGAGGCAGTGTTCAGTTTCCTCACAGCAACAGCAATCTGCTAAGGAAGAGTGGATATGGGAATCTAGGAAAGAGGAGTTTGAATAATCCTTGTCTGAGGTGTTAAGAATCACTGAGCAGGCCTGCTTCTTCAACTAGTGGTTACTGTTTAAGCTGCCTAGTTGCTTTGCACAATTAAGAAAATTATCAGTTATTTTGGAGTCTAGTTTTAGTGAAGTTGTTGCTGCCATAGGGAATAGCCTGTGGGTTTTCTGAGGCTTTGTTTCCATGTGTGCTACCTGAAGAACACAGCTGAGTCTCAGTTGCAAGGTAAAGCAATCAAACAAAAAAGTGTTAAACCATGCAATGCTTTCAGACTGCCAGTATGAGTGAGAAGGGTTTTCTTTGCTTATAACTGGGCGATGCATTTTTTTTTTCAGGTCATAGTTCAGTTCCAGCCTTCTGCCACACCAGATGAATGGGGCACCACTCAAGATGGTCAGGCAAGACCAAGGGTGGTGAAGCGTGGAATTGATGATGACCACGATGAAATTCCTGATGGTACGTGATGACTCTACCTGGGTCTGCAGCTTGAGTGCTGTTTGTTTCTGTGCATAAGTTGGGCCCTAGTGAGTGGAGCTGTAATGCACTGTTCATGCCTAAAGACTAAACCTGTTCCTCAGTCTAAGCAGCTTGAAAGAGGTTATCTGGTTTTGTTTTATTTGAATCAAAGGATCCTGGGGGTTATGTTATATCCTGAACCAAGTTATGTAATAAGCTTTGTCAAACACCACTACAGTATATATAGGTACTCTGCATTTTTTTTTTTTCTTTTTCTCCAGGAGAAATGTCCCAAATTGACCATCTGGTATTTATGGTTCATGGCATAGGTCCTGTATGTGACTTGAGATTTAGAAGCATTGTTGAATGTGGTGAGTTTTTGCCTGTTCAATGAGCAGTCATATATTGTTAACTGTGTAAATGTGGGTCTCTGTATCTTATTCAGATAAGGAATTGTTTTTTTTGAAAAGAACCCCAAGTATCTAATGTTAAGAAGTTCAGTTTCTGATAGGATTTTTTTCCTGATTTTTTTTTTTTTTTTTTTTCCAAAGGCAGAATCTGTCTTTTGTCAGTCTTGCGGCTTTAACTGTTATTATTAGTCCTCAATATTAGACTTGCAGAGTGGTTTGGCTTTGGGGTGTGTTTTTTTTCTGGTGTGGGTGTATGGGTTTGCTTTGTATAGTTTGTGTGTGGGGTGTGGTTTTGTTTGCTTTTTTTTTTTTTTTTTAAACTAAGTAAATTGAGAAGGCCATGTCTGGTCATGGAATAAAAATGCATTCATTGTGAGATAAATAGAAGCTTGCTGGAAAATCCACATACATGTTTTTTCTTCTTTATAGATAGAGGAGTGATACTTACAAAGACTTTTCCACTCTGCAGTTTCCTTCATTTATATTTTGGCTATGCCTGAAGTTGGAGAGGGAAAAAAATATTTGTAATTGTGTGTTACTTGAGTACTGGTGTCAGGTTTTCATTACTTTTATTCTCTACAGTTGATGATTTTAGGACCGTTTCTCTGAAGTTGTTGCAGACTCACTTTAAGAAATCTTTAGAAGAACGTAAAGTGAGCAGGGTGGAATTCCTCCCTGTTCACTGGCATAGTTCTCTTCATGGAGATGCAACAGGGGTAGACAGGTGAGTGTATTGTTTAATGTTTTGCATGTTGTACAAACTGCATCTTAACACTTTCTGTAAAGTGGATAAAAATAGAAATTAATGTGCTCTTACGCGTTGCTAATTTTTTTTAAGTCAACATTCTGATGAAGAGTATAGGGAAAAATATCTGTCCAGTCCTAGTGTAGTACCTGAATTATGGAAAAATAGAAATTAATGTGCTCTTATGGGTTGCTAATTTTTTTAAGTCACCATTCTGATGAGGAGTATAGGGAAAAATACCTGTCCAGTCCTAGTGTAGTACCTGAATTATGATTAGGCAGTTGAGCTAATTTTTTTTTTATTTTTTAAGCAAAGTATCTGTATTTGGGTAGGAGTATTGCAGCATTTAAAAATCCATTTAAAAATAACTTCTTGGTGCTTACGCTTGTGCTGTCACTTGATATTTCAGACTGTTTTGTCTTGCTCAAAGATGGGGAAGCAGAAATTGCAAGGGCACAACCTGTGCCCCTTAGAGCACATGCTGATGTTCTCCAGACTGTGCTCCCTCAATTGAGCCATACTGCTTTCCTAAGATTTGAGTCTTCTGTTCTCGTTTGAACACTGCATTATCAAGAGGAGTGAAGATCCCCATTCTCCTAATCAAACCAGGCAATGCTAACTAACTAAGACAGTCTCATTTCTCTAGCAATTCCATTGCAGCTGTCTTAACTCCAGGCAGGCAGATGGTGATGCCAAGGTTTTCCTCCAAAAAGGGAGTGTTATGTTGCCTGTTACTTCAATTTTACCTTCAGTTTTTATAAGCAAGTTATTTTTCTCTTCCACTTCTACCAATCTGCTCACAAAACTTCCCTGTTACTATATTAGAGAAGTGTTGGAACAGAGAAGAGGTTCTTTCAGGCATCCCTTCAGCCTGCAGAGAAAAAAGGAAGTTGTGTCTCTCTCAAATATGCACAATTAGCGCTGATGTCTGCATAAGCAAGGAGGTCAGAAGAACAGATATTGTTTTGGTGTTTGCAGAGACCATATCTGCAGTATTTACACTGCAGCCCTACTACCGGGCATTTCAAAAGTCAGAAAAGGTGTTACCTGTGTTTCTTTAAAGGCATTCATGCTTCTGATGGTTTTGTCTTACCAGGAACATAAAAAAAATCACGTTGCCGAGCATCGGGCGCCTGCGGCACTTCACCAATGAAACGCTCCTGGACATCCTGTTTTACAACAGCCCCACCTACTGCCAGACCATCGTGGATAAAGTGGGGCTGGAAATGAACCGTTTGTATGCCCTGTTCATGAGTCGCAACCCCGACTTCAAAGGAGGAGTCTCTGTGGCTGGCCACAGTTTAGGTAATTAGCTAAGCAATTGACCTGGGGTAAAACCAGCATTACTACGCTAAGGGAAATGGAATCTTCATTAAGCATAAGGCTAAAATGAGCTGACAGGGCATGGCTGTCTTCCAGAACACAGCTGGCTAGAAGTGAAGCATGTCTCAGGAACTAGGTTTATAAAGCTTTGGGAGGTTAGTACTTCACGGATGCGTGTGTTTCTTACCCCTCTGCTTTAGTTTCCTTCATGAAGGCTTAGTTTATTTGTGTTTAAAAGTTGACAGGTTATCTGGTGTCTCTTAGGTGTTTAACTTCTGTGTCTTAGAACCCCAATCAGTAAAAGTAAGGTAATTTTTGGAATAAGTGGTGCAAAGGCTTGTGACCTACTAGTTAGGTCTGGTACTTTTCCTCCAGTTTGGCAAGCAGTCTAAGATGATAGAATCATTCAGGTCGGAGAAGACCTGTAAGATCATGCAGTCTAACCTCTAACCTAACTGCTAACCTAGCTCTTCCAGCCCACTGCTAACCCATGTCCCTAAGCACCCCATCTCTACTTCTCTTAAATGCTGCCAGGGATGGTGATTCAACCACTTCCCTGGGCAGCTCATTCCAGTGCTTAGTAACTTTTTCTTGTAAAGAAGCTTTTCCTAAAAACTAAACCTCCCCAGATGTCCAGATGTAACTTGAAGCCATTTCCTCTTGTTCTAAGGTGGTTAAGTAAAGGTAGTTTAATCATGGCAACTACATAAACCTATTTCACATGAATGGGAGAAAAAAAAATACATTGGCTTTTTGCTGAGAATGGTGATGTTCATGTTACTAAGTGGGTATTTTAGTTTTAATTCAGCCATCTTTATTGATTATTCTATACATTGCTATTACTATTGCATACAAATCTTGCTTCAGATTTGGGGACAGGAAAATCTGACATTTTTCCCAAGGCCACTTTAATTCCTGCTTCCAGGTTCTTTAATTCTGTTTGACATATTGTCAAACCAGAAGGACTTGGCTTCATCAGTAGATACTGGACCATTCTCTGGAGTTAATGGGACTGTAAAGGACGTGGCTGGTCATGATAAACAGGTAATTCAGATGCTAGTCTTTCCAGGCAAATAGGTCTGATACCTTCAGTAACTTTTCCTTAAGTTTTCAGAATTTATTAGTTGAAACCTGGTTGTGGGTTCTGATAGTCCATTTTAACAAGTTAATGGAAATGTGCCCTTCTGTAAGTATGGTCAGTTGTCAGGACGAACTGTTTGCATCTCTCTCAAATTTCAAGTAGGCCAGTAATGGGATTTGATCATGAACATCAGCTTTGACCCTTGTGAACATATAACTTGGTCTTAACAGTATCTGAATGGTGGGGGAGGTGTGTGAGAGGAAAAGAATCTGTCTGCCTTCTGGCTAAAATGAGTGACCTGTTGTTTCATGGTTAAAAAGAAAATACCTTTGAGTGTTGAAAAGCTCAAGAGACCTTTTGCCTCTCAATAATTTTAAATATATAATTTTCTGATCTATTATGAGTGGAAAATCAGTGTCCTGCTTTACCAAAAATGGGCACAAATTTACAAAGCTTACATTACAGTGTTCTTAAGAGAGAATAACTGAACTCGTATTTACTTGCTGCATATTGGCTTGTCACTCTTAGGTGATGTGATTCTGTTCCTGTACTGTTTTGTTTTTTAAGATAACTGAAGATACCAGTTCCCTGGGCTCCTCAGTCACTACTTCTGGTGATGATCTTTGTGAGCCTGAAGTAGATGATGATGTTCCTACTTTGCAGAAGACTCTGGAGATGCTTAGCTTGTCAGAATATGCAAACGTATTTGAAAAGGAGAAAATAGACATGGAGTCTCTGGTACAATAATGTTGACTTGCCAGGATTGGAGGTTTATGTTGGAGGATTTTTGGTGGGCTTTTTTGGTTTTGTTTTTGGGTTTTGTTGGTTTCTTTTCCTTATGAGTTTAGTATACCATTAGTCATGAAGCATTGTAATGGGGTAAGATAATTATTATCTGACATGAAGACTAAATGTTATGTGACTTTTTTTGTCTTGTTTTTTTCTTCTCCTTTACTTTAGGGCACTTGATATCTATCATGCCTTTTTCATTCCTATGTAATTTCTGGAGCTTTGTAAAGTGTCTTATCTAATTAAGTCATTGCAAATAAGAAATGATATATGTTACAAGAAAAGTTATGAAGTATGCTTTGTGTGTGTGTGTTTGGGTTTTTTTTTTTTAGCTCATGTGTACAGTTGATGACCTGAAGGAAATGGGGATACCTCTTGGACCAAGAAAGAAAATAACTAATTTTGTGAAAGACAGAGCAGCCAAGCAGGTAAATATATTTTTCAGGAATGAAATAAGAAGTTGTTAAGCAAAAGTAATTAATTCCTTGCTGTGAAGTAACTCACTAATATCCTTGATAACATGGATATATTAAAGGAATTTGGACAACTGTGAAATAAACTTTTTTTCTTTTTTTCCCCTTGGTTTTGAAACTTGTCTCAAAAGGAACAAAAGAAAGCAGTAGCTGAAAAGAAAGCAGTGCTGGCTGCCACACTCCAAACTCAAGAAGATGTCCAGAAAGCAAAAGAGACTTCTGTCTCCCCTTCAGAGTCAGGTCAGCTGCACTCAAAGAGGAAGCTTCCAGTTGGTGCATCTGTTTCTTCTGTGAACATTGACTACGAGTACTTTGAAGTTGGAACTGGCCAGGTGAGACTCCAGAGATTGGAATGATTTGTTTGGAAGAGTTCTGTCCTTTTTCTTGGTTTGGTTTTGTTAATATCCATGACTGTGCTACTTCCTTTGATGGTTATACAGAAGTCGTGTTGACATAGAACTTCTTGGAGGGAGGGAGGGCTGGGGGAGTGGTTTGGACTACTAAAAAGCAAAGCTGATTTTCACAAGGATGCCATTACAATTCATTTTTTCTTTTGTGAGTGAGTGAGCTGTAAACATGGTTCTCTGTTTCAGAAGCAGAGCTGTGTGAATGACATCAAATGGAATGGTTCTTTGGTTTTACTTTTAATATAGTAGCTGTTACATGGTTTGCCTCAAACAGCCCAAAAACCAGTCCTCAGAGACTTCCTGTTGTAAATATTATTTTTATTTTGTACTTCTCAATTTCTTTTAAGAAAAGCATTTTAAAATTATAGTATTAAAATGTATATAATATTAGTATGGAGGAGGGCAATGCAGCTGAAGCTTCCTGCAAGTCCTCAGAGTGTGTGGTTGATCTTACACACAACTTGGTTTTCCTTCCTAACTGAGCATTATATTAACTAGCTGGCAGTTCTGGGACATTATGTGTGTGATTTCTGTCTGGTAGGTTTCTGTGGTTTACAGTTCATTGGACTTTGAGCCGGACATTTTCTTTGCTCTTGGTTCTCCTATTGGTGTGTTCCTTACTGTGAGAGGTGTGGAGAAGATTGATGAAAACTACAGGCTTCCTACCTGCAAGGGCTTCTTCAATATCTATCATCCAGTAAGTAACAAGTACTTTGGAGATTTTATTTTAGTTTGTGTAGATGACAATAATGCAGAATACTAAGTTTTAACCTCTGATAATTACACCTCCTGTTGTCTTACATAGATTTCTCAAAACACTCTTTAAAAAAAATAATTATCCAACTGAAATACATATTTCGATGTTTGAGGTCTTTACTGCAGAAGTGAAGCAGGAACTCTAGGTTCCATACCTAGCATCCTAGGTATGGATTAGCTTGGTATTTGCCCTGTTTGTTTTCAGAGCTTAAAGAACAATTTTTTTCCCCCCATTAATTTCAAGCATCTCTTGTAGATTTTTGTAAAATGTTTATACTTGATCCATTTACAGAACTTCACTGAGTTTTCAGTTTAGATTCTTGGAAATTTAGAAATCCTTAGAGGCTTCATAGTGCATCCAATATATTTGTCCTCTTCTGTCCCATCTTGTTTGACAATTAAACAGTGACATGTTAGTAGAAGACAGCTTTACTGCTCTTTCACTGTTGTTTCCTCTTAGAATCTGTCTGTATTAGAACAAGATCTAACTAGGTAATGAACCTGCTTAACCTTATGATTAAAGTAAATGGTCCTGAATTGAGTTTCTCTGAACTGAAATAAAACAGAATTAAAAAATGTGTCTTATTAATAATAAATAGGGATTTTTCATGTTCTCTGTAATGTGGTGATGAATGTCAACGTTTTGTTTCTTAACAGCTTGATCCAGTAGCTTACAGATTAGAACCAATGATCGTTGAAGATGTGGATTTAAAACCAGTTCTTATTCCACATCATAAAGGCAGAAAAAGACTTCATCTGGGTAAAAAGTTATTTCATATATGGTTCTCATTCCTAATTAACTCATTTGATGTATTAGAATATTGTAGAATTTCAAGAGACTAATGAATGTTCCTGGATAGCTGCATGTTTTCCCTAAACATCAGAGCGGATTCCTCCCATCTACATAAGCTGGGCATTCACAGTTGCATTCAGATAATTGTAATTTCTTCAGATTTGAGTCTCTAATTATCAGTGTTTCATTTTAAAATTGCTGTTCATCGCTTTTTCTCCTTAATTTAATATGATGATGTGAGTCAGAATTTCTTGGTTTCATTTACCTTGTCCATAATGACAATCATGAAGTGTTTAGCCAGCAGGGATTGGATTTAGTTGCTCACATGTGCACGTCAGATCAAGGTGCTGTACTTAAGTATGCAAAATTTAACAAGGGAAGTAAGTTTTACTATACAGTTGCTGGTATTACTGTTGTAAAAGTTCACAGAGCCCTCCTGAAAGCCTGTCTCCAGGCACTTGGATGGAGAAATTCTGCAGATTCTGTGCTTTAGCATGGTACATTAGAATGAGTCTGCTTTCCTGAACTAGGAAAGGAATGTTTTGGGTTACAGGTCTCAGAAGGAATGTGTAATAAAGGAGAAAAATATGGTCTGTTGCTGTTTACTGGATTTTCTTTGATGTCGTTGAATGTTCTGTGGAATAGTTGTGAGCCCTGATGTGACCCATGTGATTCTAAGCAGTTATTTTGGAGAACTCTCCCTTGTTCAGTTTCTCACCAGTCAGCTTGGTTACTGGTGACACAGTTACTGAGCTTTAGCAGAACTACAGGCTGGGGTTGTTACCTGGGGGTGTTTCTCCACATTCACTGCTATTGCAAGACACTGGGAGCTCCTTTGGTCTCTCCTGCTGTGCTGGAGTCTGAAACTAGTCTCTCTATACTCTCCTTTAGTACAGGATGCTAGGGGTGATTGCAGGTGGTGATGATCTTGAGGGGTTGGCCTGTGTACTGTTTTTGTGGACCCTTCTGGTCTTAGAGGCTTTTGGACTGTTCCCTGTACTAGTGACCCACACAGTGACAGATTAATTGTGTATGAATTACATTTCACCTAATCTTTTAAAATGGAATAGAGAAGCAAAAAACACACTTTCATGATGTGCAGGCCTATTTCTCCAAATGATTGGGGAGGTTTTTTTTAACAGGGTTTAATAATTCTGGTTTTAGTTTATAATTTTAAGTCCTTCTACTGTGGTGATTTTCTTTATTTTTTAGAGTTGAAAGACTCTCTCTCTCGTATGGGATCTGATCTGAAACAGGGTTTTATTAGCTCTTTGAAGAGTGCATGGCAGACCCTTAATGAATTTGCACGTGCTCATACATCTTCAACTCAGCTACAAGCAGAACTGGAGAAAGTAGCTAACCAAATTAAAGAGGAGGAAGAAAAGCAAGTGGTAGAAGGTATGTAGTCACAGTATTGGTTTTCTTACAACTCATCAATCCCAAACTAGCAGAAACTTGACTTTCCTAGAGATTGCTTGCTATTGATTTTCCTGGCCCTTTTGAGGAGGCCTTTGTGCTTTTGGAGTATTCAGCAAGAGTACTACATGTAAGATCTACTGCTGCATTTTTTTGGTGCTTTTGCAAAGGAAAAGTTAACAGTTTCTGTTGAAGGGTGTTTTAGGATTGATTTTGTATAACCTCTCAACTTCCTGTTGGAAGAAAGGGTTTCTAAATCAATTGTGTTTTCTTTCCTCTCAGGGCAAATTAATACAAATAAGTATTTTTGAGATTTATTCTGTTTGGTAGTTTTCTGCTGATATTTTGGGATGAGCTAAGAAGCATTGAAGTATGTTCTCTAACAGAAAAAAATGCAGTTGAGGAAAAATAACGTGTCAGATATAAAAATTACCCCTCATGCTACCATAGGCAGGCTTCCTAGTTGTGAATTACCTGTCAGTGTTGAATAATTGTGTCTTTGTCTATATTTATAAAGACAAAACATTCCTTCTAATTTAAATCGAGGGTAGCGATTGACTCTGTGCAAGGTGAATGTAAAAATCCATTATTTCAGGTTATTCCCTTGTAGAATGACTGGATCTGTCTTATGTATAAACAGTGGCTTTTTGAAGAAATTGCCCCACCACTGCTTTGTGTGAGCTATTTTTCAAACAAACTGTTTAACATTTTATGAAAGAGAGAAGCCTATAGCTCCAGTAACCAATCTGAATTATGCAGTGGTGTGCTAGTCAGTTGAGGCTGTTAGTGTTGTCTTATTACAAGCACTTGGAAATCACAGCAGAGAAAACATGCAGTATTTCTTGATTACAGTCAAGCAGGCTGTGCTTGGAAGTTGTTTAAATCTTAAGCTCTTTAATTTTAGCTGAGAAGATAACTGAAAGTCCAGACCCTCCAAAAGATGAAGATTTTTTAGGGAAGGTTGGAATGCTAAACGGAGGACGTCGTATTGATTATGTTCTGCAAGAAAAACCAATAGAAAGCTTCAATGAATACCTTTTTGCTCTACAGAGTCATTTGTGCTACTGGTAAGAGGAAATGTTTGTGATTCTATAAATACTACTTTTCTGATATAATTGTTTGCAATAAAGACATAGCATACTGTTCTCTTGAACTTTGATACTCAAAATACACGCCTTTAGCTACCATAATTTTCAGAAGAAGTAGAGCTCTGAGCATTTTGACAAATTTTGAATAAAACTATTCATGAAGGATTTGTATTAGACTACAATATGTGGTGAAATTCTATGTTGGACTGAAATTGCTGGTTATTGATGCTCTGCTACTGAAGATTAAGAAAAAAAAAGGAAGGAAAAAGGCATAGTGAATTGATCTATCTGTAAATTTGGATGTACCCATGAGGGTACAGTGGTTGCTCATCTACAGAACAATCTGTCTAGCAAGAAGCAGTGTCTGGTGTCATCTTGTAGTCAGAGCTGCAGTGCACCATTGCCTTACCTGGATTTGGATGTACTTTTTCGAAGTGTGCACGTGTTTCAAATGGAGAAAGAGATAATCCCATTTATAGGAACAGCAGTAACTATTGACCTGTTGTATTTGCCCTTATGAATTGCTCTTCTTTTTTTTTTGTGTGGTATGTCATTATATGCATTTTATTACTGTCATAAAATTAAACACAGACAAAAATGCATGAGCTGTGAAATGGTAGAACAAAGGATGTGTCAACTGTGTTTGGCAACAGGACAGAGCACACCTCTATGCAGCAGGCAAGCTAGGATGTCAGTTGGTGAGCTGTGCAGAATGATGTTGGTGAGGAAAGAGT